CCAGGCGGGTTTTGAATGTCTGCAGAGAAGGAGACTCCACAACCTCTCTGGGCAGCCTGGGCCAGTGCTCTGTCACCCTCACTGAGAAGAAGTTTCTTCTCAAATTTAAGTGGAACCTCCTGTGTTCCAGCTTGTGCCCATTACCTCTTGTCCTATCATTGTTTGTCACCGAGAAGAGCCTGGCTCCATCCTCGTGACACTCACCCTTTAAATATTTATAAACATGAATGAGGTCTCCCCTCAGTCTCCTCTTCTGCAAACTAAAGAGACCCAGCTCCCTCAGCCGCTCCTCATAAGGGATGTTTAGAAAATCTTTGAGTGAAGAAGCTTGTGTGAAATCTCGAAATTAGGTCTTTTGACTGCAAGGCTTCAGAAAACATGCTCTGATGCTTGCCTGTGTAACTGTTGTTCACGATGGTGTGATCTTTCAAAAAAAAAAAAATAGGAAGAGTTTTACAAAGACGTATGGAAAAGCAGGGGAAATGGGACAGCTGCTTTCATGAGGCATTTCTGAAACTCCACCGAGACTTTTCTGTGCCTCATTTTCTACATGTGTCTGAGTTGCGAGGTCTGCCTGCCCTGGCAGTCCTGGTAATGCCGAGATAAAGCTTTCTGCAGCTGACAGCCCACAAGATGCAAAAACTTCCGCCATTTCCTCTCGTTGACTAGGAAATGACTGGAATGACTCAGTTCGCATAGTGAGTGTAGCAAGTATGACCTTTTTAAAGGCGGCTGCCATATGGAGCTTTTTTGCCTCTACTTTCTCCAGTTTTCCCTTACTCAAGAATGACCAGCTTCAACGAAAAAGTTCACCGCTCTAATTGAATATTCTCCATATTGAGAGGGGTAAAAATAAACATTTTTCTCAGTTTATTCACGCATAAACTAGAACCATCCAAGTGTGACATCTGAAAGGAACTACATGATTATAATCTGAAATGAGAACAAAGTTCATCTTGTGCGATTTCTTATTTTTTCCCTGCAGACTTTGAAAGAAGGAAGAGATTTCAGAATCTTAATACCCATTAAAGCTCAAGAAAGCCAGGGCTGTGTGCTCCTGTGTTAACCTTTTTAGAATTCTGCTGGCTAATTGTCTGTCTGTTCCACCTTCTCCTCCCAGGTTAATGGGGTGGTTAGCAGTGGAGGACAGCAATGGTTGGCCAATCACACTGCAAAGCAAACTGAAAAGGTCAAAGTAATGCGCTGTATTATTCATGGACTGTGCCTTGCTGAGGTATCTTGGATCTCGTGTCTTCTTGTAATAAATTGCCACAGGAACAAGAAACGGCCCAACGTGAAATTGGCTCTTGAGACAATGATTGTAGTTCAAATGGGAAAATGTAAAACTGTGGCCTGCCGTTGTTCTGGTTTTTGAGATTAAAGATGTGTGATTGCATCTAGCCACTGAATATGCAGCAGGTTCCATTTGTATGACTTCTTAGCTGGGTTGTAAGTATAATACAGAGTATACGTATGTAGATTCTTCTAACGTTAGCAATGGACTTTATTTTGGAAGTACTGTGTGGTGCCTAATATCCCTCCTATGTCTTCTGTGTCATTAAACTCATTTTTAGTTTATAGATCTCTTCATATGAGACTTTTTTTTTAAGTGGTGTTTTGTTTAGAAGTATTAACTTGCTAATTCCTAAGAAGCCACCTAGAGTGGACTGTAAAACAGTCCTTGTTCTCAGGAGTTTGCAATCTGTATAATCAAATTTGAAGGAAAACTTGATGTAACCATTCTTTTATCCTTCACATTTGATGTGGAACAGAGGTAGAGGGAGATACTTGCAGGAGCAGGAGTGTGACTGCGGTGTTCCGATTTATTTTCCAAATACTGTCCCTCATTGACTGCAAAGGGAGATTAGCAACAGCAGAGCTCTGATTTAATCCCTAGCACTGGCTGCCGTTAGTGCAGCTCCTCATTTAATCCCTGCCACTGGATGTCATGAGTGCATTTTGTCTTCTTCCTCTGGTGGTGTGTTTAATTTAATACTTTAGTTATAGACCCATTCTCCATCACTGTGTATCACAACCTTGTATTTTTCAAGTATTTTTATCATACCCCTTTGACAGAAGAGACTTCACAAATAGTGAAAGCGAAAAGTGTTTATTAAGACCAAACACCATCTGGTCTACCTTCTCTGAGTCGTAATTAGTGTTGTAACCCAACAGTAAACATGTACCTAACACCTGAAGGAGCTGACTCTGCTCTTTGTACCTTCCAGGGCTCAGTACAGAAGTTCTGGCATTTACAAGGAAGCAAGAACTGCAATAGCAAGCAGAAGAATTATGAGGCAGTCTTAGGGTAGAGGGTATTTCTACCTTTTGTTCTTTCTTTTTTCCCTTTCTTTAAATTGGTATAGTGTTCTTTGCTTTTCATTGAGTAGTTTCAGCTGACATCAGTTGCCTGGGGCCAGTGAACCTGGCTGTCAACAGATAAATCATTTTTGTGAACAAAATAAATCTGTGATGAAGGGAACAAACCCCCATCATTAATTTGGAAACCAGTCATGGAAAGAGAAGTGACCTGAAAGTGGAACACTTGGGGAGTGGTCTTAGATGTGTCACTGTGTATGGGACTAAAATAGCCACAGTAACCATGGGCCAGGCTGTTTTTAATGTGTCCTTAACAAAAAGGTGGATAAGGAATGAAGTCCAACTTGTAATATTTCCTGAATGGGAGGACCCATGGTAAATATCACCACCCTGTAGAAATTGCCAGCTAAAAGGAGAGAGAATCATTGTAAACAAGTTGTTTATTATTAGGTGGTTTAATTTTTGTAGGTGATCCTAGTGAATCTCATGCTTTAGAAACCATATAGCATGCAGCAAGCGACAGAAATCCCTCCCGCCCCACCACCACTTCTTCCCTGTTGTCCAGCCGAAATGTAGTATGTTCATGGAGTAAAGTTGACTCTTAGAGAGTCCTGAATAAAGCACTATGCAGATTTGGGTCTGGGAATCTGTGCATTACAAATGGGTATTTCTGGAAAACAGCAATGTCCTTCTCCATGACAGAGTCTTCTTTCATGTTCGCTTGGTGGTGTTTCATAGCTGACTTCATCTGACAACTGCTTCAGTCTGTGGCTTTCTGGAGGCTAAAGGATGCTGTAGCCAGGTGCTGGCCTGGATATCTCCAACACCCAACAGATGGTTTTGGGGCACGGCCTGTCCCTTGCTCAGTGATGTATTGATCTGCAGCATAAGACAGCTTTTCCGCCCTACCTGATATCTGTAAAGTGAAATGTCACATCTTGTCTCGGAGCTGGGTCTCTCGCAAAGCTCCATGATGAGACTGGCACATCTTTCTCAGCGTGCTCAGATCAACTTGTTTGTGACAGGCAACTGCTTTTCACTGGCGATGTTGCTTTTTTGTGCCCAGAAATCACCTGTTTTCTGCACACTTTAGTCTTTCTCATCATTCTAGGTGAAAATACCTGATTTTGCATTAAATACTGGAGATTTGTAAGGTGGCTTGCATCAAATTAAGAATATTTGTTTAAAAGCCTCATGATTTACCAAACTGTGTGTTGACTGTGACTTGATGATCAGTGGGGAGCAGTCTTTCTGATTTAGTGTCTGTCTGCTCATCAAAGATGGATGATTGCCACTATGTGTCATAAAACTTCATCTGACAAAACCAACTCCATAGCAAAATAATGCCATCTCCAAGGGGCAATAATTCTTCGTTTCTCTGTCCCACATGTTTAAGGAGCTCAGGCTAGCTCAGATTTTCTCAAAAAGATTTCTTAATACTTACTCTGTTAACAATGAACAAAGGACCATCAAAGCTTTTGCCAGTTCTTTCTTAGTTTTCAAAAATCTTTTATGAGAGCCTAGGAAGATAGTCTGTAGCAGCTAAAAATCTGTAGGATTTAGACTCCTATCTGTGATAAATAGATGATGAGAATTAAGTAGCTAATACCTTTGAGGTGCTAGATTTTTTAATTAAATCTTAGGGCTGGGGGGTGGATTTTTCCTTTCTTTCTATCTTTTTTATATTTTAAAGTCACCCTTGAATGAGAAAAATGTATTGAACTGAATGCTGTATTTATAGGATGAGGCTATATTCTTACAAAGTAAACACAGCAAATGCAAAGGAAACGCCAGCCTTAGCATGGCCTGTGCAGTTGCTGGGGGTGCCTGTCGGACACCATCTGATAGGGTGACCTCTACTGAAAGGTAGGGGCTCACTGATGAGAGGTCTTGGGGGATTTAGGATCTGTGCTCCCTTGAAGACCAAAGTGGTGTAAGATGTACCTACACGGCAGGTTGCTGCCACTGTGGGAGTGTGAGACGTGTCACTGGTCCTGAACCAAGAGATTGGCACTGGAGAAGGCAGGTGCAATTATGCTCTTCCCTAGAGTACTTGTGCATTTTTTAAAAAAACAATTATTGTCTAATGGGAGGAAAAAAATCATCCTTAGGGCACAGACAAGAGTGAAGAACTTCACATTCCTAACCATGGGGCGACAGCTGGGCTTTTTTTCTTTTCTTTTCCGTAGTACTGTGTCTCTTGTACTCATAGTTGCTGCAGTCATAAGGTGCAGAATGCCAATTTTCAGCTATAGATTGTACCAGTATCTGTAGTGTAAGGCATTAACCTGGAAAGAAGGCAACATGGCGCTGAATTCTTCTTAGCTGAGGATGGAGGGATCCCTGTTTTCAGTGCTGCTTGGGCAATAATCAAGCCAGCAGGGTTTTGTAGAGTTTGGATGCAGAATATTCACAGCAGAAAATACAGGCCCCTTTTTGGCTAGGTGTTACTATTTAAATAAACAAGACAATTTAAAATAAACCTTTCACAGACATTTATTCTATCCAGTCAAGACTGGATAGAAGTGCAGGAGTGTCTGGCTAAAGACACCCCATAGTAAGGGGAAGGCTCATTAAGTAGAAAAGTGGCTTTTGTTGACCTATCTATCAAATATCTACAGTGTTAATTTTCTTGTTGGCTGTGTGGCTATGGCTTTAGGGCTGGTAAAGGGACAGTTTCGTTATAGTACACTTTGAGCCCTCATCATTCTCCTTCTTGCTGTCCGAGCTGCTCTCTGCCTTTTGCTCTTTAAGTAATTATATTCTACGTCGTATAAGTAGTCTTCAATTAGTCCAATCTGCAATTAAAAAGAAGTGGTGTCAGAACCATGTCTCTTCCCCTTTATAAAAACTTTAAAAACTTTTGCAATTAGTTTATTTCAAAATGAATTGTCATTAGAAAGAAAAATACTTGAAGGCACCTCTCATACAATTGGCTGGAGTAGCAGTACCTGATTTCACAATTATTTTTTTTTGTCCCTTTCCATTTGGATTCAATTACTTTACTGCTGTGGAATAGACTGTTTCATTGAAATCTGTACATTGAAAACAGGTATTTATCACAACTCTGTCTTTAAATGGCATTGAAAAACAGCCACTTTAAAAGGAAGGGATGATGAGGAAATTAATCTCAGGCAAGTTTTTCTTGATAAGGAAAGAGAACAGAGGCTTCTGGCATTTATATGCCAAAAATCAACACATGGAGAAAAATGAGTATTCCACATTGCTGTGGCAAGAACCATTTTTCTATTAAATCAAAATAAAGTTCTGAATAAATATGTCCTCCCATGAATATAATACACTAGAGAATACAGGAAAAGAATAGATGACCTCAGTGTCCCCCCCAAATAAAAATGTAATTATTCTAATAAAGAGTACATTCAGATAGACACATCTTCCTTGCAGGGGTGATTTCAAACAACCAAAAATATGCATTTGTAGTACTGCGTACAGGTATTCTGTAAATACCAGGCATTCATAATTTTATGGCTCTCTCTCCCCATACCTCACCTTATTCATACCCTTTGTCAGCTTTTACGATATGCAGCATTTCTGTAAGGTGAAGATGAGAATCATTTCCCTTCACACTGAGTTATGCTCAAGACCTAGACCCTATATAATGTGAGGATCTAAAGAATCAATCTTCCAATTGCATTTTAAGCTGAAATTTAAAAAAAAAAAAAAGTCCTAATCTATCATCCTGACACGCATTCAGTGGAGCGTTGCTTCTTTAAGGACAACACAGAACAGCTGACTGTGAATTAATCTGAGCGTGGCTTCTGACTGCATTTATTCATATATTGAGCTGTTACCAAAGTGCCCCTCAGCCCTGAACTTGCAGCCGTGCCGTCCAGTGCCCATGGTTTGTGTGGGTGAGGGGGGTGCGTGTGTGAGAGAGAGAAAACGAGGCAAGGGGGAAGGTTCCTGGGTGATTACTTCTGCCTCTTTGGGTTGCTGAGGCACAAGGAATGCTTTTGGGAGAGGAGCTCTGCCTCCTCCTCCACACTGAGCTTGCAGTGGTGACATTTTCAGCGGATTGGATTTGTGTAGCACCATGTGTGAAGCCATGGAAAAGAGTTTTCCACCGTGATGGGCACATGCTCGTGGGCTTTAGCTCCTCGGTGGCCAAGAGTTCCATTGCAAGGGGAGCACGGGGAGATTGGGACTCTGAAGGCAGCCTCACAGGTTGGGTCTGCTGCGACGCCCTCGACACATAAACGTGTAGGATTAGTGAAAGGAATCATTATGCTACCCTCATTGCAAAGAAGCTGAAATGAAAGCTTAGGAAAACATTGATCTGGCCAAAAGCATGCGGGAAGTCTCAGAAAGAATAATCGCTTAGTGCCAAGACTAGGGACTTAGCCATATTAAAAACAGCCACCAAACCCTCAAGACTTTTCTGCAAGAGACCAAATTAAAATGTCTACATAACTTCCTTCTGCAGTTAAAAGTGAGCTTTTCTATTTTGGGTGTAGCACTTGTAACTGGGGAGCACAAAGGGTGGTGAGAGGAAAGGAAACAAGTCTTGGGTGATGGGTAGGGAGTGGGGTGAGGGCAAAGGGAGCACCAGAAAAGTGATGATTTTTTCCGGCAGCTCCTTTAGGACCACCCAGCAGTGCCTGCTGGTGATGGCACCAGAAAGCCCCAGTGCAATCGTGTTTTTACCTTGAACCACGACTTGGCTGCTGTTGTGTGCTTTTCATATTTATAGAATACCTGTCAGCTCCAGCCCCCAAAATAAGTTCTAATATGGCATATCAGGGGTGGAAATAATAGTTGCTTACATAATTGCAATGTTACTGACACAGCTGATGAGCTGATGAAGTTATTTGCACAGCAGTGATGGCATTCAAACCCTCACTGACTTGCAATTACACTGTATGCTCTGAGCCCTGGCATGATTTAAATTACCATATGAACACAATGAAAATACAGTCTCTTGACAAGATAAAGGGGGGAGGGGATGGCTTAAAAATCTCTTTTCAGTGGCTGCAGTGTTCAGTAGTGCTTATTCATGGCTTTTTAGCTTGCGCATTTCATTTTAAGAAAATAAATTGGAAGCATTATGTTCTGCCTTTTGGCTTTGATTTAAAACCTCCCTGTGCCCACTCTTCTGCTGTCTGACTGTGGTGAGCCACCTTCGGGGCTTTCATTGGAAAATGCAAGTATTTTAAATCAATAGCTTCACTTTTTTTCTCCTCCCCCTCCCCATCCCCCCTAATAACTGTTTAAATAAGAATCCGTGTTGATACGAGTAGGTAGAAGGACATCGTTTGTAACCAACTCAAATACGATTAGTGTAGAGCAACTGCTGTTGTGGGGAAATGGATTTTGGAAAGCACTTGTGGCTTATTCCCAAGTAGAGCAGTAGCTGGCTACAGTCAGCTGAGCATCAGCTGAGATCGGCTCCCAGGGTTGTATTGCTGAACCCTGCAGTGTCTGCATAGGCTAAAGCAGCGCTGAAGCCCACATGGAGAGCTCTGCAGGACCTGGTTCACAGCAGAGCATTCGCTACTGGTGTTGCCAATAATTCACACTAGGCTCATTTTGGGTCTGATCCCTACCTGCACAGCAATCACCATGGTTGGGTTGATCCTTTGTGGTGTTTGCACTTGGGTTACGTTTCCCCACCTCTGATCCCCTGACTCACAGTCTCCCTGTGTGCCGCAGCCTGTGCGTGGGAGCCACTCAGCAGCATCACATCCCATCTGCAGGGGCTGTGCTCTGCACTTGGTAGCTGCACTTGAGGTTTGACATCCTTGAAGGCCCTTAAATACTCTCCTATGAAGCCATGCTACTTCCATCAACCCAGATACAGTGTCTTTGTGGTCTTTTTCTCCAGTGCCTGGTGACCTGAGAACTTATAAAGATAAATTTTGCTCCAACCTATTTGTGATCTTCCAGTGCTATGACATCTTACTTTCAAGCTACCCTGAATATTTGCCTCCCCAGCTATTTCCAGCAGTGCAGTGACAGGATTTCTGCTCTGGATCAATGTCTACAGCCCTGGACCAGCACGAGGCTCCTTAGTGCACAACTGCCCCTCCATTCAAGCTCCTCCTCTTTCTTTCTCATTAGCTCCTGATTTCAGGCTGCTCCTGACCCTATTTCTTTCACTGGATTTTTCTCTCTGTCTCTAGTCTGTCCCCTGTGATCAGCTGGAAAGAGTAGAAAAAAGAGGGAATGAACAGAATGAAGAAATAGAAACAAAAGGTGCCTTTTCAAAGCAAATTTCATGCCTAGTCTGCAGCACATCCGTGTGGTACCTGTAGGTGCTTTGGGATCAAGCTAAGCAGGGAAGTGTAGGGCTCAGAAATTTGAAAATGAATCAGGTACTCAGTTGAGTTTATTTTGAGCTCTTTAAGTTAACATTGAATTCATTTTACATTGTCCCCAGATTCTCCCTTGTGCTTCAAATTCTTGCATTGATAATATGCTATGGAAGATATCAATGGTGGAAATTGTCAATCTGAGAAAGGGCAGAAGAAAAAGCAAGGGAATTAATACCAAGAAAACACCTGGGCTTCTGCAAGAGTACTACAGATACGCAGTGTTGGCATTTTAACTGTCAGCCTTCAGTTTTACACCTGCGAGCCCACAAAGGTGCCTGGGGAATCAGAGCAATGGACTAATGCTGGGTCTACATTCTTAATGCTTAGGGGGATTAAGTTAGGATAGAAAGATCCCTAGGCTGGTGGTTGAATGAAAATGAGAAACAGGACACGAAAAACAAACTTGTTTAGTCCACCTGAAGGAAATGATACTATTTTTTAAACCAGAGGAATGAATGGGAAGGACAAAACCTCCATGTGTACCCTCAGACCAAGAAGCTGCCAGCCTTGGTGCCACAGCACTTGCTGTGGTGTTGAGACACCAACACAGAGCTTCAGGACCAACAGGCCACGTCTCAAAAGTATTTCTGGGTTTTTTTATTCTTGGGGAAACACGAGTGAATGGGCAACGTTGTGTCTGCCTTTCCCCAGTGCCACACATCAAGGTATTTTTATTTTGATACAGAGTAAGAAGGTGAGAAGCATTAATTAGTGCACCAGCAGTACCTGGATGGACATCAGTCTGCCCTCAATTCCAGTTCTGAGTTTGCTGGGAGAAGAAAGTGATCTGTGGTCCATGCAAATACTGAGGTGATCAACTCAGTCTTAACTGAAATGGTTTTGCATCATTCCCCAAGGTTGTGCGGTATCTGTAAATACTTATGGTTTTGGTACACTAATGTGGTGTATGCAATGAAAACACAGAGCGCTTCGGGCAACAGGCAGTGCAGCAGGATTAGCTGGAGGGATGAACTGCAGAGGGTCTAATCAGGTGAGGCAATATATGGTGTCCCTTTGGCTTTTGGATTTGATTCAGACCTACAGGAGTTTTTGAAAATGACATTATATAGATCTGCACAAAGATAAGGAACAATACAAGCCTTGTTTGAAGCATATAAAAATGCTTCTAATCTTGCCCTTTTACACGCGTTGTCCGGTGATGGATAAAGGGGAGCAACTTACTGCTGTGAGCGCTCAGCTCTGCTCTCTGGATGCCATCCTGATTGATTCACTTGTGGCGTGGAGGGATGTGTAAGCAGCCTTTGTTGGCTGCAGCTGAATTACAATCATTGAAAGATCTCAGTGTAAGGGACCTCTGGAGGTCACCGAGACCAGCCTCCTCCTCAAAGCAGGGCTTTATGGGAAGTTCATATCTCCTTCTCTGAAAAACTTACTGCATTTTTCCTAATGCCCTGTCAGTCACTTTTGAACTTGCCTGGATGCATCTGGTTTTGCCCTGAAATATC